CCATCTTGCAGAGAATAACACGTGCTTTCTCATACCTGCATCTCAGCTGCTCCTGGTGTATGCAAAAAGTCAGCATCTTCGTGGTTAACCACTTACAGCACCTCAACACACACAAGCGACCAACAAAACTGAGCATCTTGAGAGCCTCTGAGATGAGGAATCTTGAGCCTCCTGTATCCAGGAGGGCTTAATCACCACCACAAAATTAAAGCCTGGAACTTATTGCCCTTGCATGATAGGGTGACCTGGTGACCAGGAGTACAACCGCGTTCAGAAAAGGACTAGACAAATCCATGGAGAAGATTTCCTTCGATTTCAAACCATCGTGGGGTCGGGGTGTATACTTTGGCTCCACAGGTTTCTAAAGCACTGATGGATGGAAGCCTACGCCTTCATGTGGGCCACCCTCAGGGTGCCCCGTTCCTGGACTCTTCCCTAAGCATCTCCCATAGCCAGCGCCAAAGGAACAACCCCGGGACACTTGGATCCCGCTCTGTCTGGACATTTCTTACACTATAATCAATGCAATCATAAAAATAGACTGCTTAGACAATTGTCTTGCCTGGAGTTTAGCAGATGTGAGATTCAAATTTTAAGAAACCGTTGTATGAGACATCTTCAGAAAGGTTTAAAAAGAGTTAAATAAAAACTGACATATTGATGTAGACCAACCTCAGTGCAGGGAGGCAAAATCCCGAGGCCTTCTTTGCAGTCTCTGAAGGAACTGGCTTATGTAGAAGGTGCCGCAGAGGTTCCCATCATGAATCACCATCCACATCAGCATCCCAAACCGGTCCAGCTCCAGTAGGCTTTTACCAGGAATGGGGGGTACCATACTCATTTTAGGTGAATAACTTTTAAGGACCTTTCCTCCTTGCAGCCTCTAAACGATCTCCTGCCAGGCCACAGGTCTCCCCTCTTGCTCCCCCTACTCTACCTGGCCGAGGTGCTTGCAGCGACTCACTTTTTCCTTTTTTGTTCTTTAAATCATCTGCATAAACATGCAAAATACATACCAGCAGGCCTAGGGAACACTGAGGGCACAATTCTGCACGACAGAAACCTCACGCTTAATACAGTCTTTGCTGCGTCAGTGACGGCACAGGCTTTAAAGCAGGGCTACTGTGCTTTAAAGCAGTCTACTATGTAAAAAGTCAGGTTGTTTCTACCCTCAAAATATTTCACATTCTGTTCTTTCTGCAGTATTACTAATTCCAAGTTCCGCTTAATGCTCTGCATCTGAATAGGACTCTCAATTACATGAGTCACTGCAACTATCCTTTGATTCTATTTTTTTTTTTTTTTTTTTTTTTTTTTTGTCACGTACGTGTAATCTGAATCCACAACTGTTGGAGCCTGAAGCTTGCTCTGCACACTCAAAGTGCCACAACAAAACGGACTCAAATGTTACATTTCAGTTTTGAGTTGCTCGTGGCAAGCAATGTGAGCCGTGGGAGAGAAGTGGAGGTGATTTCACCTTGAACCCAACCCCTCCCTAGACTGCCAGCGTACAGGAGAACCATGCGGATGCATATTGCGGCAGGGACAGGTGTAACACTGTCCTAAGATGAGGGAGGAGGGAGAAGAAAGAGGGTGAATTGTCCAGTTATCTCTCGCTGCTGGATGACATGCCATCCTGGCTGGTGCTAGAGGGCACAAACATCCCTCTCACACCCCAGTAAACCTACAGGTGTTAGCTACGAATTCTTTACCAGCCCTGTTACCTATGTAACCCATCTTAAAGTTCACCTGCCACATCCACACTCCACCACGAAGAGGTGCGAGCTGCAGAGCAGAGGGTACAGCCCATGTGAGCATCCTTCCTTCTGCACCCTTCTGGGTTAGCCCAGGACCAAACCTGTGCTCCGGGGGCTTTTCCAACAAGTACAATACATACATCTGGATGAACGTGTTTCGGTGGTCAGCGGAATCACGTGCTTCAGAGTCTGATTTAAATGGACCAATGCTGACTTGGCACACATTTTGTGGTCAGGTTGACAGTGTAGGTTACTGAAGAAAATGTCTTTTTCTCACTTGCGAAAAGCTGAATTTGAAGCCTACGCACAGTGGCTTTTCTGGGAAAGCAAGTTTTCTAGGAATGCCAGTGACAATTTTAGGAAGGAAACAATGTGGTAATTTTCAAATTCAGATCAAGTTTTGGCACAGAAGAAGAGAAGCAAGGCTTGAGAAGAAAAGGTCGTGGCAAAACATGACAAAACAGGTAAAAAAATGTCTTCTCTTTTTGTCTCCTTTCCCACCTTTTTCAAGCCAGCTTCTTACTAGAAAAGCTGCTTTCAATCTCTTCTAAACCTCCATCACTCTGTCAGTATAATGCAGGAAAGCACTGCCTGAAAATAGGGCTTTTCTTATACTAGAGGATAATTACTAGTTGTTCGCTGTCTCGTTATAAAAGCCTAGTGCAGACCAGCATTTTACCATGAAGATGCTAAAGAGCATCAATATTATACCTTATATAGAAAAAAACTATATTATTTCATCTGTCCTCTCTCCCCTGGAAAACCACCACTTCTCTGGCAGACAAGGTAGAACATCACACCTCTTTCCTTCCTTTCTACAAGATCCGTCATTTAAATTGAAAGCTCTGTAGGGTGGGAACCCATTAGGAACTACGTTAAGTATGTGTATTGTAAAGAACTAGGTTACATCAACAGTGTTGCCAAAAAAAAAAAATTAAAAAATCAAAAATCAAATATTGTTATACCAAAGCCTCAACTGTAGGTCCCAGGGATGACAGTATAATTATTTTTAGAGATGACTATAGCAGTAACTCAACATGACACGAGAGACCTGAGAAACAGCAAGCCTGATTTAAACCAATGGAAAAGCCAGGAATGCAGAATGGAGACTGTTCTTAATGCACCATATTGCATCTGAACATTTTGTTCCTACCCATCTATCCAAAGCATGACGTTTTGCATTTCATATTAACATTCTGAAGACATTAAAGGATTCTTCAATTTTGATGTTCATATGCTGTGTCAGAACACGCACTCTGACTGCTTAGAGAGATGCTCTGTCTACCTTCGTACTCATCTTCCCTCCTTCAGCCTCCTAACCGTTCCGCCTCCCACTCCCCAAAACCATCGCTGGGGCTATTTTTACGGGTAGCATTATTTAGTTCAGCAGGAAGACAGTTACAAGGATGGTTTGTGGGATTTGAACTTCACTCTGGATTTCTGCAATACCTCAGCTGTTATGCATATGTACTAAGACTGAACGCTAACAAATCACCACAGTAATACTTGATGTTCATATACAATTTCTCATCTTCAAAGCACTTTAAAATTTCCCAGAGGTTCTACAAAATCTGGGAGAGGGAGGAAGAGATACGAGCAAAAGCCTTTGTTTAGCATTGGTCTTAACATAAATCATGGTTAGTCCCTTTCTGCTTAGCGCTATAGCAGGAACGTTGTAGTTTTCAGATTTAAGCCTGAAGTGCTAAACAATGCTAAATTGCCAATAACACATTTTCACTAAAAAGTATTTAAAATACTCTTTTTTTTTTTTTTTTTTACATATGGACAACTCTCTTCCGAAGTTCTGTTCTCACCTTTGAGTTCAGAACCAGGGAAACTGGTGACATTAGCATAATGTGTTGGGAGATGAATCTATGTCTCGAAATAAAGGACGTTTTGATTTCGGAAAGTTTTGATAACAATTTAAAAAATCCTATCGCAAAGCAATAAAACAACAAAGAACATAACCGGGAATCTCAATTTTAAAAGATTAAAGTATTTAAAAAAAAAAAAAATTTTGAAAAGGTAAAACTATACAATAATAATTTTTGATGAACTTTAAGCCAGTGCTCAAGGCAGAGCAGTTTGTTTTGAAGAGCTGAAAGAGACTCTCGCTCTTCTTTTCCGAGGCGCCTCCTGCCCATCGCGCTCCGGGGAGAACCCTTCCTCAAA